GTATGAGCCCTGATACCCATAAGGACAGATGCATAACAAGGCTCATGTTTTAATGCATAGTTCCGTTTGGCAGAAATACGTCTATATTTGAGGTGCTCGGTGCAGAAAGGGCATTTCTCGGTTGCGGCGTTTCAACATTTCCAAATGCTAATTTATATTTAAGAGATGAATCTTTGCGGTGAATCTTCTGAAATTTTGCCTTTACAGCATTGAAAAATCACAAAGAGTAAACAGTAAAATTGAGCTTTCAAAACAAATCAAACCGGATTGATGAAAAACTTGGTTGCACGAACCGCGGATACGGCTTTAGAACTCCAAAGTAAAGTTGTACGAAGAGAAAAGCACGCAATGCATTGGCGGATACAGGGAATTGGCAACATTGTCTTTTCTCCATTTAAACCTATGAAAACGTATCGATTCTTGGAGGGGCTAGGTGCTCCGAGAAGAATCGATTATTTAGCATAGGTTTAAATAGAGGAAATCCGGTGTTGCCTAATTGCTGGGTCCGCCTCTGACGCAATGCAACACCGTGTCCGACCTATTTATCTGAACGTTTAAAATATGAATCGCGCGAAACGTATGACAATCTGCCGTGCTAAGGAAGGACGCCGTATGAACATGCGACAGTTGCCAGATTTCTCCGGCTAGAACTCGTATTTTAAAGGTAAAATATGAAAATTTTCTTTTGCAATTTTTAGACATTTTGAATTTAATTGCACACAAAATTTTCTGAAAAATCGGAAGAAAAATAATCGCAACTCTCCCAGTATATTCGCATCTTCTCTAATGGAATTTGGCAACGCCTGAAGGCTCATGCGGCGTTTTTCCTTAGCACGGCAGCCTTCTTACATAAATTAAACCGTTTTCCCCCTCAATGTGGAGTGATTTTCGACAGCAATCTTCCAGAGAGCATCGCATGGGGGATTTGTTGAGGATTTCTCACGAAAAGATTCTTGACTGTAATATAACGAGGGGGGGACCGGGGGCAGGGGACAAGGGCCGGGGGGCGTTTGAAACAGAAATGAAACGGGAGCTGGAGCATAAGTGGCGCCGAAAAATCAATAGCTGAATGGAGCCACGCTTACCCGGCGCGGGTTTACCAGCGACCGTCGCCTCCGGGCGTTAGCCCTGCCCGCCACACACACACACAGACACACCGCCACCACCGTATCATACGCTCTCCGCCCCATGTTTCATTAACGTCAATTTTATGAATTTTCCCTAGCCCCCCCCCCCTTTCAGGACTGAAACCAAATTCGGCAGAAAAGAACTGCCAGCACGCGTTTTTGGTTAACTTGAGCATTCATAAGAGGATAGCGTTCACTGGTAAAGAAAACCTCTTGGACCAATGCCGCGGTGCATTGACTTAGGAGTGCAGTTTCTTGTCGTCGGATTTAAGAGTCTTGAACTCTTGTTTCAAGCGGATTTTGCATTGATTCAATCGGATTTTGCATTGAAACAAGAGTCCAGACTCTTAAATCCGGCGACAAGAAACTGCACTCTTGAATCAAGAGGTTTTTTTTTTTTTTTTTTACCAGTGTTCATAAATGGACCGTGTTAAACAGAAAGGAACCAAGCCACATCAGCTATTGCCAAATTTAATAGGGTAAATTAATTTCTAACAAGAAAGCGGTTGGGCGGATTTTCGTGCAGATTTCAGTGAATTTCCTCCATGGTACGAAGCAAATTCCTTAAAATTTTTAAAGGAATCCGCAAAAACCTTCTCTCGTAAAAATTGACTTGCCCAGTTTTTGGCAATAGCTGATGTGGCTTGGCTCCTTTCTGTTAAACGCGGTCCAAATTACGTGACGCTTTACTGTCTTGCCTTGCCGAGGAAAAACGCCGTATGAACAATCGAGCGTTGCCAAATTTTACCGCCCAAAACCTGTATTGTTGAGGAAATTAGGCACATTGTTCCTTAAAATTCTTGTATTTCAAGTATTAAATTGTAGGCAAAATTGTCTGAAAAATTTGAAAAACTATTCACAATTTTCCAAGTAAGTCCTTTTGAATAAAGAAAATATGGCAATGTTTGAAGGCTTGTATGGCGTTTTTTAGCCTGGCAGGCTGGGGGTTAGGGATGTCAAAGAGAGCGTTGCGTCATTTTGTTTTTACGGGTTAGAGGATAGGGACATACGTCGCAGAAACGTTGCAAGGGGGAAGGTGGGGTCAAAAATTCCCCAAAAATTCGTCACGTATAGAAAATGGACTCAATTTCGCAGTTAAGAACTACAATTTCTGGCTCATCCGTAAAAACACTTATGTGCACAAGGAAAGTAATGGTATCTGTTTTTTAATCGAGTCAGAAATTTTCTTGGAAAATTTTATGTAAAATTTTCTTGAAAAATACGAGAAATGAACGATTTTAGACCATTGAAAGCCGCCACTTAAGACACTCTAAATCGGCCGTGTAAAAAAGCGATATGGTTGTGTGGTAGAACTTCTATATTGCTGCTTTTATGAGACTTGCAACCTCTAGCACGAGGAATGGCTCACTGAAAAAAAATTCTCGGCGTTTTTATCAAGGTCCGTTGGTACCTTTACCATCTCACTTTTTTTACCAATTATTGGTAATTTTACCAAGACAGACTGGTAAGCTTACCTAAAAACCGGTATTTTTACTGTTTTTTTCAGGTAAGAATACCACTTTTATTGGTAATCAATTCCCGGTAACTTTGCCATTTTATCTCGGTAATTCTACCACAGTCGATAAAAAATATTGGCGTTTTCACCAAGGTCCAGTAAAATTACCGAGAAAGTTCAACAATTTTACCGAGATTTCTCGGTAAAATTACCAATTCCATAAATGGTAATTTTACCAAGAAAAAACTGGGATCAAATAGAACCCTGATTTCTTGATAATTTTACCCTTTTTTTTTGTAAATATACCGATATATTTTTTTTTCAGTGCTGTGAGAGATGCTCTGGGAAAGAAAGTTTCGCTGGGAAAGAGAACGGTGTTCAATATCGCGGTCACAAATTCGGTTATAATGACCGTATCTTCGATTTTGGTGACCATCTCCGAAGTTCCTACAACCCGGCTCTTTCCACAGTTCGGTTTGAAAGTGTTAGACCGATGTACAGCTACATGAACCGAGAAGTGCGATTTGTGCGACTGATACCGAACGTCACTGAACGCATACTGTTTTCCTCAGTGTGGTAAAAATTACGCGATCAGGGTCAAAAATAAAGTTGAAGTACTACAGAAATTTTTGTAAGGGAGGCTTAAAACTTTTGAGAACAATCATTAATTCATCTGGATGCTAACCAATATAAACTGTATTTCCCAGATAAAGGAAGGTAGCACTACAAACTACATCCTAGGACTTAATAATTGACTGTAAAATTAATGTCTAAAATTCTGCTGATTCTCCTTTGAACAGGGATATAAGACAGGTAACAATACTGAAATTTCATTCCGTTCTTTTGTCTCAACATATGTTGTTGTTTAGACTTGGGTGCTTTTATGGACATCTCCATATACATGATTCCTTCCTTATGATTCGAGAGAGGCACCATTGAGGAAAGATATTGGGGGGCGACTACAAGACACGGAAAACGGGTAAAAAGCAAAAGGAGAAACTTTTATTTTAAAATAACGTCCGACAACTTCACCTGGCGCTAAAGTTGGAGCTGACTAGATTCAGACGACTCGGTTTGCTCCCAGAGAATGAGTTCTCCACCCTACGAATTGGCCTTTGCCACGATAAATAAACCATTTGATCAATCACTTAAGCGACAGTCCCGAGCTTAAATCGTCTCCTTATTCTTTTCCGTTTTGATTGTTTCCCACTTCCTCACTTCTTTACGCCTACTTTCCTCGTGAGAGAGTCACAGTCGGACTGACGTTTAGGGTGCTGTAACAATTTGGTCGATTATTCTCGAAAAAACCGTACGCTCTTATCGATTGTCACTCAGCATTGGTGGTATATTGAGAAAAACAACATAACTCAATTTGCTACGCGACGCTTTTATATCCCCGGGAGCGGCTAATTTTGTCGCTTCTCTGACGTACGGGCGTATCTCAATTCTCCGTATGAGCCCTTTTCTCCGTGTAACTCCATGCTTTTCAAAGGCTGTGTGAAAATGGCGATACGCCATTACGGAACATGTTTTTCGTCTCTCGATATAATGTGAATCTGTCCTCTTCTTCTCCTTCTTTTTTTCATTTCTTCGCAGCGGCGTGATGAATTTTACGAACAAATTTAACTAGGAAAAGAGTATATTATGAGAGAATGTTCTTGCGCCATTTTTCGTCCAAAATTTTCTGATTTTTGCAGGAGATCAGAAGGAAAATCATGGAAAGTTTCAGCCGGATATACTCAAGATTTTTCTGGTAAAGATGCAATTTACGAGGGGAAATTTGACAATACTGAAATGTAGTTACGCTCTCTCCTGAGGAGGAGAACGATTTGATTTGAAGTCATATTACCGACGCAGGGTGTCTACTGAAACAGGCTGATCAAAGGTAAGTACTTTTACAGTACTTTTTCAGTACCTTATCAAGAGATTCAGTACCTCCTCCAACAGAAAAATTCCGTACTTATTCAGTACCTCCATTTGACGAAATTCGAAAAATTTCAAAAATTTGAAATTGCGACAAAAATGACAAAAAATTTAAAAAAAATTCCGGACCTTTTTGCGGAATTTCCGCACTTTTTCATTGCTTCCGGACCGCCCTTAAAAAATCAATACTATTTCCGGACTTTCCGGAAATTTCGGACTTGTAGACGAGGAGTTTTTCTTGTCATAGCAGTTTATTTTCTAAAAGTAACTTCGAATGGTACGAGGACGTTTTTGCACCCGACATTTAGTCATGAATACAACTTTCTTCTTATTTTCATAATGTTAAGTATTTGCCACGACTTTAATACGTCTACAAGTACACGCGCTTCCAAGAACTGGAGAGGGAATGATCCGAGAAAAATTATGCAAGTATATGTAGTTCTTAAAATAATACAATTGCTTCATTAATTAATTAATTTAAATTAATATCGTACCGACGAAAGACTGGTTGGTGGCCACTTTGATGGTCATCTGACCCGCTTTGCATGTTGCTGTGACTGTGGGTACAAAATCCTGCTCCACCAACGCCTGTCCTCCCACCTGAAATACATGCAAAGGACAAACAATTAGAGACGCGAGAAAAGTAAAAAGAAATTAATAACATTAGATACAAAGTGAGAGACTGCCGAACCAGTGCATGCATCATTTTCAAAAGTGATTGGGTGGTAGCGATACACTTGTCATGATCATTTTATAATACCTCGAAAAAACTTAAAACGGCTCTGCGTCATCAATGACTATTAAATCATCAATGATACACCTGAATCAGTGAAGTCACGAGGTAGGTATCCGATAAAATATGTAACTTCCTGGATTATAAAATATACAAACCCGTAAGGACGAGAAATATCCTAACCCAAAGTCTAAATTTTATCTGTATTGAAAAATGTCGGTAGAACAAGCAGTAGGTCGCCAAAAATTAGGCAGACAGGTGACCTAAATAAAAGAAAGATGAAAGATACTTAGGATTTAACGTTGGATGTTCACAATTTAGTGATATGTGCGGAGAAAAAACTGCGCAGCTAACACAGTGACGAACTGTTATGTTGTTGGAAAATTTAGGGTCACCGAATGCCTTCTTTTAAGATACGAATTTTCTGGAAATTTAGGGGATTTCGTACTGCTTCTTAAATTTTCCTGCGCATCTGCTTCGCAATCACATTCAATTCAAATTAAAATTTCTACAAAAAATAATCATGAAATTCCTCGAAAACGAGTATTTTGTGGGGGAAAACAGTAACATTCGAATGATCGCGCGGCATTTGTTAAAAGCACGGTAGCATTAGGCTAACTACATCGACAAGTTCCTAACAGCTCTTTTTGACGAGAAAAAACCATCACTAAAGGCAGTATTTTTCATCTCCTAAATTCGGCCACCACTAAGCGGTAATTCCGTTTATTTAGCAACAATTGTCATTTTACGAGCAACATATTGATGCAGGGCTATTTCAAACTTCGATTTAGCTTGCAATAAAAACCTTTGCGAGGAACGGGGTGAGAAATGGTCTCCGGTCGTCTGCGTCAGAGATAAGTTTCATTTTCATCGCGGCTCAACTTTGAGTGGAAAGTATGTAACATAATGTAGCCCATAGACAGTGTTACCTTTATGTCCCTACAGCGGAGCCCAATTTCATGCGGTTGGAAAGGGTTATTTCTCACTGCAAGTACAACGATGTATGATCACGCAGAGTGTGGGAGTAAATACGCCATTTTTCACTCGTGAATCAGCTGCGTAGAAAATTAAAATGCTGGATGTCGTGGCATTCTTGGCCGAAAGGGTGCCCGGAGAGTCCATTATCACAGTGGTTATTATAATTTCGGTTAAATATGACCCAAAAAAGGTAATTAGCATCGAAAGCCCCGGAAAGAACATTGATTAGACAGTTTCACAGGTGATTCTTTGATGCGACCTGCATTGAGCCGCGAAGAGAAAAGCTCTTGAGGCATGATACGTTGGACCATGTGATATTTTTAAGCGCATACAGTAATCGAATAGTTTTGAACTTCCTCCCTGATTGATTTCTTTGAGAAAAACAGCAACCAACACTTTTCCTTGGGATATTTCGGAGCAATATCTCGACTAGGCAAATAACAATCCCTTAAAACTTTTCAAGTAATTATTGATTTTTTCTCTGTGAGCTGAGAATCGCAGCGTGTCTAGTATTTTTTAATTTTGAAAAATCTTGATATTTTATAAAAAATTCCTGATTTTTTCATTTTGAGAATTCCTGATATTTTCCTGATTTTTCTCGTAAAAACTATATTTATTGCATAAATGCATGCGGAAACTAAATTTTCTGATAAAAATAAGTTAAAGGGTGAGAAATTATCGGAAACAAAGACGGCGTGACGACTCCTGGCACGGTAGCAAAAAACGGTGAGACTTCTCCGCTGAGGAGATTCGCGTAAGAAAAATTCCTGATAAAACGTCCGATTTTTCCGATATTTTCCTGATCGGCCAAAATTCCTGATATTTTCCGGTTTTTCCTGATGCTAGACACCCTGGAATGAGTAAAAAGCCCGGAGTACTACTCTGACCATTGATGAGTTTAAACCTATTGGAAGCTTCCAGAACACATCTAACGGTGGAAAAATCAGAGCTCATTACTTCCGGAACTCCACAGCTTCGCGTTCCGGAGAGTGCCTCGGCGTGGTTGCCGACTTTCTAATCACGCAAGTCCGTGCTTTCATGCTATGGAAAAACGCCGTAAGAACCTTCAGGCGTTGCCAATTTTCCTTGGATAAAACACGACTTTCCCGGTAAACTTATCGATACTTTTCTTCCGATTTTTCAGATAATTTTGTTGGCAATTTCACCTAAAGTTCCGGAGAATTTTAGGGGAAAATATTCATTAATTTCCCTCAACATAAACATGTTAGTGAAGGAAGCTTGGCAATTCTCGAATGTTCATACGGCGTTTTTCCTTAGCAACTTAATATTCATAATGGACCACTAGACAAGGTACGAATTTCAGCATTCTGATACATGTTTCTTAACCACAATTTCACGCAGAGTACGATGCTTGCAACGAAAATTACAGAAATAAACTCCTTAAGAAGATATTTAATGAGTCTTAATGCGTTAATTCAAACCACCCGCTCATGAAAACTGAATACTCTATACGTGATTCACATCGCGAGCTAAACGTCACAATGACGGTCTCTGGGATATAAAAATCTAGCAACCCCAATATCGACGCTTTGGCTCAGCTATAACAAATTTACTTATCGTTTGAACAACACAAGGTGGGAAATGAACATTCCTCGATTGAGAAGATTGCTGAAACCGTTGTAGTGCGCGATTTGACTCAAGTAGAGCTCTGAGTTTCCTGTGAGCGGGCAGTTCAAAATCCTCGTAACCAATGTGAAATAAAAATGTTAATATCTTCGTTAGGAGTTAATTTCAGTAATTTTCGTTGCGCGAATCGTGTTCTACGTGATATTCTGGCTAAGAAACATTTATCAGAATGCTTAAATTCGTACCTTGTCTAATGGTCCATTGACGCTTTGCGTTATTTTCCGGTACTGCACGGAGAAAAAAAACTCGTGCGTGGGACCCGAAGTTCAGGTCATATGGATCTCTGAAGTTTTCAGATTGAGCATCTGAACACTTTAGGTCTAGCTACCGAAGTTCGGATCATACATCTGAAACTTCAGTTTTCACATCTGAAGTACTTCAGATGTGAGAACCGAAGTACTTCGGATGTGAGAACCGAAGTACTTCGGACGTGAGAACCGAAGTACTTCAGATGCAAGAGCTGAAGTTTCAGATGTGTGATCCGAACTTCGGCAGCTAGACCTAAAGTGTTCAGATGCTCAATCTGAAAACTTCAGAGATCCATATGACCTAAACTTCGGGTCCCACGCACGAGTTTTTTTTCTCCGTGTGGAGAAGGCAAGGTAGGAAGGGAGTATTGTTGGGAATATTGACAGCGGAGTGAATAATACTTTTATTTTTTGGAATAGGACTTGTGTGTCACACTGAGAAAAAACTATGGCTTATAAACCTATTAGAGGTAAATATGGAACACCACTAATAGTAGTACCTCTACATATAATAATAGCACATATACCTTAGTTATGGTCTCTGTACCTTAATTAGGTATATACAGAGACCTTAGTATGGTTCACAGACCGAGAATCATTAGTTTATTTACGACTATTATAGGTGTTCCATATTTACCACTAATAGGTTTATAAACCATAGCTTTTTCTCAGTGCACTGCGACTATAAGTATGTCGATACGCAGTGCTTCATTACAAAATTTGGCTAACAGATCGAACTTAGGTTTTTCCGACGGTAAGAGATCGGCTCCACGGTTTTTCGGAGGAACTCCATCAGCATAACCATGAAGTTGGCTCCTTTCTATTAACTTATTTGGCTCTGTACGCATTCAGAAGAAGAGAACGATGGTTAAGCATCGGAGCTGTACGAGTATAAAGCAATTAGCGTAAGGCATTTTGGCAAACTTCAGGACACTCTCATCCCACTTGCAAGGTACCCAATGCTGCCGTGCTAGGGAGGAACGCCGTATGAACATTCGAGAGTTGCCAAGTTTCCTTCGATTAAATGTCTATTTTTGAGGAAAGTTATGAATATTTTTCCTTGAAATTTTCAGACACTTTAAATCAAATTACAAAAACAATTATCTAAAAAATTGGCAAAAAAATATTCAAAAATTGTCCTGAAAGTTAGTGATTTGCCAGGGGAAATTTGGCAACGCTTGAAGGATCATACGGCGTTTTTCTTTAGCACGGCAGAATGTCCATGTGACCGACTCCCCGCCCCGTCTCCCCCTTATAGAGTACGTAAGACTGCCCCCCCCTCAAATTTCAGAAAATAACAGAGAGAGCCTAAAAAATAGCTAGAAAATTGTCTTTTGATTGATAATATTCATCTTCTTTTAAATTGAGAGTCTTATAAAAGACTGGGCTCAACCACCACCCCCTCCCCTCGTAAGACCCTCCGCAGGAAAAGCACAGACTCCCCCTCCTTAAGTAGTTTATTTAATACTTGAACGGTCCCTTATGACTGAGCTTTAATTTCTTCACGCGGAAATGCGGGAAATTCGGGCGCAGTGCGTTTCCAAGCTGAAGAATAATTAGATTAATGAGAGCTCCTTAGACTTGATCGAAGCCCGCCGCTCAAAACCCGTCACTTTACTGCCGTGCTGGGGAAGAACGCCGTATGAGCATTCGAAAGTTGCCAAGTTTCCTTCGATAAAATGTTTATTTTTGAGGAAAGTAATGAATATTGTTCCTTGAAATTTTCAGACACTTTAGATCAAATTACGAACAAAATTATCTGAAAAATTGGCGGGAAAATATTCAACAATTATTGTCCTGAAAATTAGTGATTTGCCAGAGGAAATTTGGCAACGCCCGAAGGCTCATACGGCGTTTTTCCGTAGCACGGCAGTTTAAGCCAGCGCTCAATCTGGAGCCTCCCGGGTCCTCCGGCGTTGCTCCGATTTTCTCGACGCGGAACAATGTAAGCAGCATCGTTGTCTCCCTCCGGAGTGCGCCACGATTTTGGGCGG